TTGGACTAGTCTTTTGGGTTAGGCTCTTCCTTTGGGCTTGAGTACCTAACATTGGTATCAGAACCTAGGTGCCCGATGCTGCGGGTCTTGGTGACGTGACGTGCCGCCTCGTGATTACCGCCTTGGGAGTATGGGCTCCAAGGGACTTGGTGACGAGGGACTGGGCGACGTGATTACTGCCGTGGGCGTCGGGTCTTCCGAAGGGTGGTGTAATGTTATGATCCCACATTGACTACACTTATGGGAGTGTAGGGGTTCTTAAGTCCTTGGGGTCCTCCCACCTATTGGACTAGTCTTTTGGGTTGGGCTCTTCCTTTGGGCTTGAGTACCTAACATTTATTGTTATGAACCCAATTTGTAATTGAGGTTTATGCTTAAAGTAAAGAGTCAAATTAGTTGTAATTGATGGTTTTTACTGGTTATTAGGGGAATTTGATAGAAATGCCAGCTGGCAGTCACACTTCATGTATAAGAGCACATGCTCTTTGGTTTGAAACGGAACAGAATTTAACAAAACAAATCAATACAAAAATATTGGAGCTCTGCTCCTTCTATCTTCCTCCTTCATTCCCTTCTATGTGCAATAGTTAAGGTTTGAGTTAGGGTTTAAGATTTGGGTTCTAACAATGGTATCAGAGCCTAGGTGCCCGACGATGCGGGTCTTGGTGACGTGACGTGCCGCCTCGTGATTACCGCCTTGGGAGTATGGGCTCCAAGGGACTTGGTGACGAGGGACTGGGCGACGTGATTACCGCCGTGGGCGTCGGGTCTTCCGAAGGGTGGTGTAATGTTATGATCCCACATCGACTACACTTATGGGAGTGCAAGGGTTCTTAAGTCCTTGGGGTCCTCCCACCTATTGGACTAGTCTTTTGGGTTGGGCTCTTCCCTTGGGCTTGAGTACCTAACATTGGTATCACCCATATCAATTCCTGGATTCCCTTCTGTGCACACCCGCCAATCCGCTGCTACTTGCGACATTGCCTTGGAATCCCGTCTTGCTTCCTTGGAGGCTTGCGTCGCTGCTTTACCTTCCCTCATCACCGCTGCGATCGACCAGGCCTTCGCCGACTCTCTTACACAATTTCGTCGCGACATGTTCTTTCAAGGTGCCGGGGAAGGTATCTCTGCCCCTTTTGCAAGCGATCATCATGGTTCTCCTGCAATTGATCTGATTCAGCTAACTCGGAGCCCAATCTGCGCTGAAGGAGCCCAATCGCAGCTTAGTCCGTCGGCAGTCCAAGCTCCACCGCTGCTTTCATCTTCACCGTTGTTGCAAGCACTTGCAACTTCGGCCGTCAAGCCACACTCGAAGGACTCCGCTGCAACTACAGTTTTGCGTCCGGAATCGAAAGCAGGGATTCATGTTTCAACGATAACCTCTGCTCTGCGGCTACTCCATGAGCACTCGTTCTCTGATACTACGAAAAATAGACCTGAGGTAGTTCTTAATTTGAGTATCATTTCAGCAACTTCGGAGGCTAAATTCCCTTCTCTTTTGACTGATAACTATGGTGCATACCTGAAAGATAAATTTGGATGGGTTCATTGGTATCTTGTGGGAAAATTTGTGAAGAAGAATTTATGTGCATTGAAACTGTTTATGAAATGTCTAAGAGACAGAATGACAATATGTTCATTCAGCCACTGGTTGAAGTTCTCCATCTTGACTATCTTGCCATCCAGCTCCATTATTTTGACTTAAATTGCTACCTTGGTTTTGAATATGGAAGTACAATTGTTTTAGGTAGAGCTTTTGCTTGTTCATCTGGTTTTAGTCAGAAGCCTATGTTTGGAGCTTTTGGGTCCAATCTTGCTCAACCAAGTCCTTTTGAAAGTCCAACTCAAACATCACAGGCAGCATTTGGGGGCAGTATAATTGGTTCCTCCACGCCAATTGGTGACATATGCTACTGTAATGGCATTTGGGATAAGGGTGGAGGCTCTCAATTCAACAAAATGCAATTGAAGATGGCGGTGGCTCGAATAAAGCTGCTGAGGAACAAATGGCAGGTGGTAGTAAAGCAAATGAGGCGTGCCATTGCCTTGCTCCTACAATCTGGTAAAAATGCTACTGCTCGAATTCGGGTTGAACATGTGATTAGAGAACATAACACTTTGGCTGCCAATGAGTTCATTGAGCTCTTCTGTGAATTAGTAGTATCTAGACTTTCTATCATCGCAGAGCCAAAGGAGTGTCAGCCTGGTCTCAAAGAAGGAATTGCTAGTTTAATCTTGGCCTCTTCTAGGTGTTCTGAGATTTTGAAACTGATCTCACTAAGGCATATTTTTTAGGAAAAGTATGGTAAAGATTTGTATCTGCGGCTGTTGATGTACGTCCCTGCTGTGGTGCGAATCACATGTTGTGGTGTGAAGGAGGACATATGCGGTTTGTAGACTCAGCTTCAAAATCTGCCAGTTATGCAATGGCTGCTGCACAAGTTGCTGCATATTTGGCCAACACGGACTGCAATCAGGACATTAATATTGTATCTCTCAAGAAAATAAAAGAAGCTTCCCCATTGAGTTTGATAGTTTCCTTACGATCGATATGTGAGGGCAGATTTCAATCTCTTGACCAGTTTCTATCTCGTGAATATTGTATATCTCTTGCTGACAATATAGAAAGTAAAGTCAAGGTGAGGGAGGAAGGTTATTCTCAACTCTTTTCTGAAGTGCATAAATTTGCTGATGTGATTTCCGAATTCAACAATATGGTTTCTGCAATTCCAGCGATGGTTACACAGTCTGATGAGCTTAAGCTTAAGTTCGATGAAGGGTCCACAATGAGCAAGCTTTGGATTGTGAATGTGGGTGGTAGTGAGAGTCTAGCAAAAACTGAAGTTCTAGGGGAAAGCCTTAAGGAAGCTCAAAACGTCAATAAATCTCTTTCAGCTCTTGGGGATGTGATCTCAGCTTTGTCAAGAATTAAGGCTTTGAACTGGGTGGGACATGTGGATGAAGACAATGCCAAGGCCATATCCTTGTTTGAGAATGTAGTGGACCTTAGTGATGCTATTGAAGATGAAGTCAAGTGGGTAGAGAATCTGATTAGAGGAATAGTTGCTGGAAATATATTTGATCTTGGTAATGCACAGCTTGCAGAAGTTCTCTCAAAGAAGGGTATGTCCTTTTTAGTTACTTGTCAAAACCTTATCCCTCAACCTTGGGTTATCGATGACTTAGACGTGGCAATGGTTGTGTGTGTAAGATCTGCGTGCAGGCATTCAGGTGCATTAGACCATGGAATAATGGTGTACTCTGCCTGCTCTATAAATTCACTTGGAAATGAAGATGTGGTTGCTGAGATTTTGCGGAGAGGTGGTGGGGCTCTTCACGGTATCAAATTACAAGGAATATCAACGTCCATTGAAGATAAGAGCAAGAAAAAGAACCATCTTGTCTTCTTAGATATATCAATTGATAGGGACCTTGTGGAACAAAGCAAGAAGAAGAACCTTCATGTCTTTTTAGATATATCAATTGATAGGGACCCTGTGGAACAACTTGTTATTGAGTTTTTTGTTGATGTTGTTCATCAGACAACAGGGAATTTCAGGGCTCTCTGTACAGGTGATAAGGGATCAACATGTCATCGAGCAATAAATGGTGGTGAGAACAACATCAAATGTGTGGTCAGAATTTATCCAATGCTTGAAATGGCAAACATTGCTGATGTGCAGGACTTGAGTTTTATTATGGAATTTGGGAATAAAAGTGATATGGTGCTGAATATTTTGCAGCCTAGCCATAATGTTGTGAGAAATGACGCTATGGACCAAGAAGGTAAAGGAACAAATGGAGTTGAGCCTCATGACTTACGACCCATTATATTTGAGTTACCTCTCCTTGATCCTGAGGAAGTCAACAATGGTGTGCTTGAGGTGTCTGAACTAAATGCTATGGCTGAGAAGGTAATTGCAGTGCGGAATAAACAAGTAGCTATTGATGGTGAGGTTGTTGCTATGACTGTTGATGGAGTGAATGATGCACCTACTTTGAAACTTGCTGATATTGGGATTGCAATGGACATTTCTGGAACTGAAGGAGAATGCTGCTGCGTTCAAACAAGTTTCCACAGTTTCTTTTTTAAGCCTTGAGGACAAGGCTAATTTTCAAGGGGGAAATATTGTTATGAACCCAATTTGTAATTGAGGTTTATGCTTAAAGTAAAGAGTCAAATTAGTTGTAATTGATGGTTTTTACTGGTTATTAGGGGAATTTGATAGAAATGCCAGCTGGCAGTCACACTTCATGTATAAGAGCACCTGCTCTTTGGTTTGAAACGGAACAGAATTTAACAAAACAAATCAATACAAAAATATTGGAGCTCTGCTCCTTCTATCTTCCTCCTTCCTTCCCTTCTATGTGCAATAGTTAAGGTTTGAGTTAGGGTTTGAGATTTGGGTTCTAACAGAGGACTACTTGCCAACCCCAACCAAAGGAAGGAGTCGGCGGCGAAGAGTTGGGGGATCTTTGCGAGAGAGAGAAAAAGGGGCGGCTAGGGTTTTTGCGTATGGAAGAGGGGTATCGGAGTAGATTTGTTTGAAAATGTTTTTAGAGAAAATATTTTTAGGTTTCAAAAACATTTAAAGTGCTTTATGTAGTCATTTAGCACCACGATCTAATAGTATCCTTCTTCACTTGTAAGTGAGAAATCTTAGGTTCGATTCTCGCCAAAGGCAAATATGAACCACATTATTGCTAGTCCATTGTGAGGCTAAGCCAAACCTCTTCCCTCTTAGTGTAGATAAAATCATTTGTTAAAAAAAAAAAGTACTTCCTGCAGGAAACACAAGTGTTTCTTACCATAATCACTTTAAGTGCTTTTCAAATATTCATTTGTATTTTTACTAAGAATTGGTTCCAAAAACAATTTTTACCAGAAACGCTTTCAGTCATTTTAAAAGCACTTACAATCGAGACCTAATTAAAAGAAAATGAAAGAAACAAGGGTAAAATGGGAAATTAAAAAATGAAACGACAAAAGGAAAAGCAACTAATCAAGTGTGGTCTACCATGTGAAATTCCACCAGATAAAATAAAGCAAAGCAAGAGAGCCAACAGTACAGCAAAATGATTACACTCTAGAGACAGCAGACCTACTTCCATTACAAAAATTAACACACATGATGATTTTCAAGTCATGGACCCCACACCTCTTGTCCCAATCAAAGGATGGAGCTGCTCAAGAATTGTGATTGACAAGTGGAAATCCATCCAGAAGATCAAAACCTTATGAACCTACAAGACGGAGAAGGATTTTCATGCAACGGGAATGCCATTATAACAGTATCTCAAGCTAACTACACTGCACGGCTGGCTGGCTCGGGATACTGCTCTAGTGGCATCCCCGTAGTTGTAGATTTCTCTCCATATAGGGACAACAGTTCTCAGATGTATTTACAGGGGCAAATTGAAGAATATGTAGAATTTTTTCAAGCTCAGACTGCGCCTAACAACCGAAACATGACAATGGACGAAACAGCAAGGAGGAACCATGAGATGAAAGCAAAGGCAACGGCAATTTGGAACCTGCTGCATGGAAGATGAATTGGCCTGCTGCAGTAATTCAAATCTCTCGAGTACAGAACTGTCACCCCCGCTGATGAGCATGCAGCGGCTAATGACAGAGTAGACGTCACCTGCATTTTTCATTTTTGTTAAACATGAATTAGTTGATAAGGAAATTGCTTCGGTTTTTATACACCGAACCATAAACAGAATCAAAACTCTGAAGTAAACAATCTGTTAGTAGTGATAGTGCAATAGCTACAAGAAACGGTTAAAGCACAATGAAACCTTTCATTTGGGAAGGTGATACTTTCTTTCCAGAAAATTTTAGTAAATATCATGTTGTAGTCTTAAGTGTAGCAAAGGATCACCCGAAAAGCTTTATTCATTTCTAAGTTAATCAGTATCCTGAAGATCACACAACGGAATTGAAGTTTTCGACTGACCATGTTTTCTCAAACATTTTTCAGCTACTTAGTTGTCCCGATGATCCAACATTTGTTCCACGTGATCAGAATAAGTTTCAATTAATAAGTGCATAAATTCTCTGAAAACTTCTCCCAACATCTCCAGTCCATCAGAAATAATGCATAACCCTTAAAATTAACGATGACACACACACTTGTTTCTGAAAACTAAATGCGAAAAACAATCCATAAATAAATGAAGAAACTTACCCAATCCCCAACAACAAATAGGCTCACTAAAATGGGATTCTGCAAGCTTCTCTTTGACCTCAAAGCATGTAAATCAAGGCAAGCAAGTCCAAAACTCCAAACAACTTGAAGCCCCATTGATGCAATTAAATAGCTGCATCCAAATAAATGCAGGTAAGAATTATACAACTATTCAAACCTAGAAGCATGTAAACTTCAAACCATTTAGTGGAAAGGAATGCGACTCTATGCACCTTAAAAGTTAGGCTCACAAATAACACTTCCAAGTTCTATGAACACAACTGATCAATAAATTGAGGTGGGAAGGTGTTACTACTTATCAGAACACATACAAACTAAGGAAAGGCTTTATGAACCGAAAATCAATTAAACACACGTTAACACGTGAAAACTACATGGTCACAATATCTCAAGAAACTTCTTCAAACCTCTCTATAAGTGGGAGAAATGAAATCATCGTAGGGGAAGAAAATCATTAGCTACCAAGGAAGCAGAATGGTACGGAAATCCAGAATGATAGGAAAGACTTCATTGACTTGTGGTTATGTGATAGAGAGAAAGAGAGAGGGGTTATTGGGATGACGTTTAGGAATGCTGCAAAGAGAATTATAGCTTCAATTCGCCATTGTCACCGTACAAAGACATCTTATGATGTTCAGGTTTCTGCAAACAAAATAAGGTGGAATAAAATACGATTTTTTATTCCTATGTGGAAGGTATAGGTTCAATAGGAGGAGATTCTTATACTTAACATGTACAGATTTAAGCTCAGAGGTCAACCATAGAAAAACTCAAGAACCAAGCATACATTAGTAAATGATTAGCTTAACATTTTACGACAATACCTTGGTAAGTGAATAAATAAGAGCGAAAACAAGGTTAAGGCCAACAACATGAAATTTGCTTTTACCACTTTCAGAACCATTAACCACATCTCTAAATACTAGGAGACTTAAATTTGTTCTCCTTTACTTCCTCCTCATTAATTTCTATGTAATTGGTGAAGAGAAACGCTAAGAAGACTCTCTCAAAAGTGGAACTCTCCGTACTCTCTCTCACCTCATATTTTTTGCAGTATTTTATAATTTTTTGGCACGGAAATTGCGTTAAACTGTGGGGTGGCAGAGAATCCAAGTCTCCTTAGCATTTTTCAATTGGTAAAACTTAGCAAGGGAATCCGATCCACACCACTTTCCTTTCTAATTAAACCCTTTTTTTTTCCATTAATAGAGAATCCCAACCGGGTTAAATTTTGCTACAAATTGAACAAATCCGAAATCGATCAATAAAAACTCAACCATTTCAAAATACCCACCAGGGGATAACAGAATCTACGAAAGTTTTCTTGTAAAAAATGTAAAAAAACAGAAAGACATAATAAGAAGGGGAAAACAAAATACCAAAATGCAGTGGCATTGAAGAATCCATGAGCAGAAAGCATCACCCCAATAGCAGCGGCAGCAAAACAGCACTGCCCAATTCTCAGTGCCAGCCCACTCACCTTCCCTGGGCTCCCAAACAGCTTCTTCATCCCTTCCCTCCACTCTCTCTCTCTCTCTTTCTCTCTCTCTCTCTCTAAGCTCAAGGGGACCGTTTTCTGAGTCCTACAGATGAGCCCTAACTTTCATATAATTCCACCATTAACGCAATAAGAGCTAAAGAACTCAACTTTTGGAGGGGAGGCTTAAAATGTGGGATCTTCAGAGATAAAGTTGAGATTTTGAGTTGAAGAAGAAAAAGTGGAATGGGATGGCAGGAATGGAATGCTCTCATCATCTCTCCGAGAGGCTGCTTTATCTCTCTCTCTCTCTCTCTCTCTCTCTCTCTCTCTCTCTCATGGGTCTCTCTCTCATTGGTCCTCCATCAAATATAAAATATAGTTAGATTTGGGCCCTCAATGTGAAGAAAGTAGAAGAAAAGAATTGTATTCTTGGAGGAGCCCAATAGGTAGATTGCATTTTATATGAGCCCACTCAATTGTTTTTTTTGGATATTATTATATCTCTTACACATCATTGTTAATTTTTAATCATTGATTTTCTTCAATTTCTCTGATTTGACGTCCAAAAAGTGAAAGAGACGAGTGAGAAATGAAAATGGGCGTGTATCTTACCCATTCTTTTTTTTTTTTTTTGTGGAGAAGAAGGAATCAAATTTGAGACATCAATAGCATGTTTACGAGACTGTAATCAGAATCAAATTGCGGAATTAGATTCTGATCACGAGATATACTTTCGTTTATAAACTTGGGAATTCAATTCCTCGTTTTGAAGGAATTTGACTCCATAAAACATTGGTCGCAAAAGTCTATACGATAGATGAGACCGCAGAGAACCAACACCCACCTCACTATAAAAGCCACCGACTTCAACGCATTTCAACCCTAAACCTCTCAAGGAGTCAAGAGAGAAAGCCCTGTTTCTAAAGCCCTAGCTAAACCCTCGCCTCGCTTCTCCTCCAAACCAAATGGCTTTCACTTCAATTCTCCGCCGATCGGCCTCCTCCCTGGCCCCACTCGCCAGCCGCCTTGCTCGTGGCCAGCGGTCTTACCACGGCGCTGTTGCCACCGCCGTCAACCACTTCAATTTCTCCCGAAAGCACACTCAGCCGACCCCTTTCGTTCTCACCCCTCGATACTATTCGAGCCACAGTTCGGACCAGTCTCTGATCAGGGTGATCGAGTCGGAGATCAAGTGCGCTGAGGAGACCGAGGATCTCGACAAGGTGAGGTTTTTTTAGTTAACTTTCTCCTGCTTTGTGGACTGTTTGGTTTCCGAGAAAATTTGGGGAAATGGGCAAGAAAATGAGGTTGTGGGTTGTGGGTTGTGGTGGCTCTGTTATGTTTGGTTTCGCGGATTATGAAAACCCCATCTCAATTAAATTGAATAATCGTGCTTGGGAACTGCTAGTTTGAAGTGAATTGCAGAAATTGAAGGGTTTCTTGAGTTAGAGTTAATATTTCCTTAATTTAGTTCATATTTCCTTATGTTCGTTTACTTGGTTTTGATTTGCCCCTTGAGATGTATATATTTCGAAAAATTGTTTCTTGTAAAAGAACTACATGATCTTCTAATGTTAGTAATGGATGTTGGATATTTTGTTTATGTTGGTATTTGTTCATGGATTGTGTGAGTGTTTTCGCTCGTGGTTCGATTCAGCAGTAGATGTTTGTATGTGTGTGTGTGAGAGAGACTTTTAAAAAATTATTGTTCAGTTTCTCTTCTGAAGCATTTGGGAAGTGCCGGATGTGTTAGTGATATTTGAATTATGTTAGATCACCATAATTATCGCCACTCGAGTGCTCAATTTGTAGGTTGAGGAGATTCCATCATCCTTCCCTTTTAAAATTGAAGATACTCCCGGAATCCAAACAGTGACGCTGAAAAGAACATATCAAGGTGAAGACATACAGGTTGAAGTTCACATGCCTGATCTAGTCACAGGTGAAGACGACAACGATGATAACCAAAATGATGACAATGATGAACACGCCAACCAATCCAGCATCCCGTTGGTTGTAACCGTCTCCAAGGGTAACGGACCAGTTCTCGAGTTTAGCGTCACTGCTTACCCTGATGAGTTTCAAATTGACAGCTTGGCAGTGAAAAATCCCGAAGATTCCGAGGATCAAATTGCCTACGAGGGGCCTGATTTCCAGTAAGCATAAATTACTAATACTTATGCAGCATTAATCGAAGATTATTGTTTATGTAATTCTGTCGAATTCACGCAAATGTCTGCTGTATTGCAGTGATTTGGATGAGAACCTTCAGAAGGCATTCCACAAGTATTTGGAGGTGAGAGGAATCAAGCCCAGCACAACCAATTTCTTGCATGAGTACATGCTCAACAAGGACAGCAAAGAATATGCAAATTGGTTGCAGCAACTTAAGCGCTTCGTCGAAGCGTAAAACTTTTACCGTAAGATGTTACCTGCTAGAAAAGATTGGGGGGCATGGTTTAGCCTGCGTTTTTGGAACTCTTATTGAACTTTGAGGGATGTGGTCTTTTGTTGGGAGGCTTTTATGCAAACAATAGTTGCTTTTCATATGAAAATAACCATTTAGGCAATCTCTTGTGCACTCACTATTTCATCATAAGTAATGAAATGATTTTATTATTTTTCTTAAAAAAAAAAAAGAGAAAATTTTTATGAATTTGCTACACTTACATGAGTGGGGATAAACTACGCATCATAATTTAATAAGCAATAATACATGATAATTTATTCTCTCTCCATCTCTCTCACAAGTGACCACCTGGGAACATGGAGATGGGAGATGGACGGCTGTGATTGATGACAAATTTAGGGCTCAATTGGGAGGCCCTTGTGTGTGTAAGTAATCTCCTTATCACCGTCCACAATCTGTCCATTTCCTCGCAGAATCCTGCACGTCCAATCAAAATACTAAAAGTCAATATTTTTGCTTTAGGCAAAGGGGGGAGTGCCTTCTTCAAGGTGCTTCTGTACTTCCAACTGAAAATGTACTGACATGAACTGAGGTTTCTTACCATCGAGTTGTTAACAATCCTTCTACTCCTACCGGACCCCGAGCGTGAATTCGACTTGTGCTTATCCCAACCTGTTGAGCAAGGGAAGATAGTTAGATACAGGACTCAAAACCTTGGCATGTAACTGTCTTCAATAATTACTGCAAGATCATCTTTCTACCTCTGCACCAAGTCCAAATCGAGCACCATCGCAGAATCTTGGGCTTGCATTGTGGAAAACAGCAGCACTGCCAACGTTTATAACAATCAACGTTACTTGCCAACATCACTAAAGAGTGAACCAGTAGGACCTTTTTTTCTGTCCAACCATTTTAGTTGGCCTGACTCTATGTAATTGCCTCTGATTACAGAATATTCTGATTGATATGGAAAAGCATAGATCCTCTGAAAAAAAGACCGGAATTATTCATACCTGTCGACTTGACCTAAAAACGCATCCACAACTTCTTGGTCTTCTGCAATGATGCAATCGGTATGTGCACTGCAAAATGGAGAAAAGATAAATGGCAGCTTTATACAAGTGATTGACATGTAATCCCTTTAAAAAAGGAAACTTTGACGTGCCTTCCGTGTTCATGTATATGACCAATTGCTGCATGCACATCGTCAACAAACTCAACAGTGCAAGCCATTGAACTGTACTCATGATGGAATGAATGCGCCTCTGGAATCCCGAGCAAGGCACTTGCCCTTGGTCCACCATATAAAGTAACACCTGCAAATGATACCCGAGTTTAATTTCTTTAAATCCTTCTGATGGCATGTTTCCCTGAAACAATTTTTGTTGGCTTCTCTTTAAAAGTGTGTCCCAAGCTTGGGTGGGGGGTAACAGAATATTGTTCTGTTACATGCCCGTGATTTGAAATTTTCAGTAAGTCTCGTTCTCAACAGGTAAAAGGCATATGAACAGTATCAAGTATTGTCAATTCTGATTGGAAAATTGAGTAACTCTCATCCACCTCAATGCCCTTGTTTTAAACAAAATAAGTTTTTATGCATGAAAATTGTACCAGCAATGCAAAGCTCAACAACAAGATCATTAAACGCAGTTGTACTCTTCAAATCGTTATGGACAAGTAGTGTCTCCTGAGAAAAACACACACAACAACAATGTGTTACAAATGATAAATAGCAATTACAAAGTAAGTTCTTAACTGCAGTAGAAAGATTGTAAGATGCCATCAAAACATATTATCATCCAGAAATTGTAAATTACAGATAAATTACCATTGCATTACACGCTGCTGGATAATCTATTTTTGCATCCAAAACAATTCTCTTTGCCATATCCATATTAGCAGACTTATCAATATACACATGGCATATTCCATCTGCATAGAAAACAACGCATTTGTTCTCTTTACTATGGCAGCCGCCATCATATTCTCTCACAAAACAAGAATACAGGAAAAATGGAGCACATAATGCAATTATTTATAAGTGAAGAATAAATTTAGTAGATCTAACCGGCATGACCGAGAACTGGAATCTTGGTCGAATTCTTGACTTGAGAAACCAGTTTATTGCTGCCTCTTGGGATCACAAGATCAATCACGTCATCATGCTGGAAATAATTTTTTAGTTAGTACTAATTATCATCTGAAATCGACTGAGGAATCGGGATTATCAGTCTATGCTCTACTCACCTTAAGCAAATCTGGAATCTCTTCTCTTGAAGTCACAAGCCCAATTAGTCTTCCACTAACACTCTCTGGGATGGCTTCGGTGATAATCTACATTTTTTTTTTATGAAAAATACTTTTAATAAAATAATTACTTCACTGATAATGCAAAAAGGGAATGCAAATAGAAATTCTCTATATATTTTGTACAAATCATTAGATTAAGAGAAACAAACCTTGTGCAAAATTGCATTTGATCTCTTAGCCTCCTTTCCCCCCTTCAAGAGAAGTCCATTCCCACTTCGGATTGCTAATGAAGCTATCTATTCAATCATAAAAAAAAAATACAAAAACCCTTAGGCGTATGATGAGGAAGAAATGCAGGTCTTCTCCAAAGCATAAAACTAATGACAGAGACTCAACATGAGCTTCGTGAAATATTTAAAATAAAGAACCAAAAAAATTCTTCCTCAAAGTCCTTGTCTTAAGGTTTTTAAATGAGATCTTATTTCCAAGCTGTTAGATTACAGATGGTATTGAGCTGCATCTTTCCCACTATGCATCTCAATTGTCCACATTTATTTTACACTTTCCACACACGACAAACAAAAGTTAAATGACTTAAGATAACATGCAGTTTGATATTCCAAAGTTTCACTGTATACCTGTACTAGCGCTTCAGGACGAGACTCAAATACAATCAGAAGAACACCCAGTGGGCTTGATGTTTTCTCCAAGACAAGACCATCTGCAAGCTGGAAGCACGTGTTACCAACAGAAGCATCATTTATTAGTTATCAGCACAACAACAGATTATGGTGCCAAACTTGACAAAGATAAATGATTTCAGTTGCATATTCTAGACTATGTATTACAGAAATGTCAATAATCGCAAATATCTCTAAGTAAGAAATTGACAGTGGAGTTAATACTTTTGTATTTTATCTCTATCTTTGTTTTATTTGTTTGTCTTAAATCATTGTCCACAATCTTGAGAGCATTGTTGTGTAAGAATATCATAAGCCAAAAATAATGATCCTTATACCACATCCCATACCTCGGTTTTTTTCAAAACACGACCAATTGGATCTTCCATGTTTGCAAGCACACGTACTGACTTTGCAAGACTTGTAATCTGCAGTATGAGCACATTGCAGAAAAGAATTAGAAGGGGACCCCAGTTTTCAGAAACAAATACACAAAGTCTAGTGAGCAATTGTACAGATTGGCATCAAACATAAACCAAAAGGTAGTGATTAGTAACAATAATACAAAAACGAATGAAACTAAACGTTTATCTAAAATAGCAAAGAAGTTGGCTCTCTTGCCTTCCCAGGCTTCAAAGCCAGCCGAGCTATAAGTGATTTTTCATATCCCGCTCGTTGTGCCTCTGAAACATCAGCTTCATTTTCAACGTTGATCAATTTTTCATTTGTTTCAAGGGCATCAGCTACATCCAGAAGAATTTTTTTCCTTTCTTCTGAAGTCATGGCCTGCAGAGGAAGTGTTACCAAGTTACTTGTTTTGTTAAACTTAGTAGATATCCATTGCTAAATAATTATGGGAATAAGATTATCCACAACTGCAGAAGTATTTATGAGCAGCAGTAAACATATTAAACTTTGTAATCAAAGCAAACAAAGCTACCTGAAGCCGTCTGGAACTTTCCCTGGCTGCAACTGCCATCCCTCTTGCATCAATTTCTTTAACTGGTGCCCATAAGTGTGCATCTTGATGAAAGAGGGTACCAATACGTTGCCCTTGAAGAACTTTGAAGATGTTTCCAGCAGCAAACCCACTTAACAAAGAAAGAGATTAGTACACAGTCAAGGGCAGCATATCGAATTTAGATTGCAATGCCATTAAAAACAAAAACTACAAGTATTAATTTAGAAATTTGGAGTATTTGGTACTCTTAACTTGTAAGAAGGATGTGAACCATATTTCTTATTTATCATGAATTTTCACCAACCAGAAAACTAACACTGCCTTTGAGTTTTCATAAACCCTCCCATATAACCTCATTATCATAGACAAGTTGAATAATGATTTTTCTTTTAAACTATAACGAAATGATATAAACAATGACATTGAATTTGTATAGTTAAACTGATGCAACAGAATAGCGTAGTTTATCACTCTGATGACACAACCAAATATCAAAACACACCTGGTGATAACAACAGGGATGCCAGCATAAGCTGCATTGACAGCAGCTTTTACTTTAGCAGTCATACCCCCTCTTCCCACTCTAGATTTGTCTCCAAAAGTAATTTCAGTCTGATGCTTCTCCTTTATGTATGTATGGATAAGCTTTGAACGTTGGTCACTTGGAGGCCCACTATATAGACCATCCACATCACTCAAAAGAATAAGAAGATCAGCCTTTAGCTCCAAAGCCAGTAGAGCTGCCAAACTGTCATTATCCCAAAATATACCAGAAGAATCCTGCAATGAGTGGAATACATATCGCATGAATACACTTAATTCCTTAGTGTTTAGAAAAGGAAAACAAGTATGAGATAGTGTAGGTAACATATTGTGTTCTTAAGTAGTCCCAATATTTCTTTTCTTTCTTCGTAATCACTTTTTGATTCCCACATTTCCTTTTGTCGATATCCATAATAGCAAGACTAAGATTGTGATAGTCCTGCCCACAGAATATCATTACCACAACAAAGTGATAAACACATCAACCATAGAAGAGTATTATACCTCGTATGGAGCTCTCCTTGTACTGACTGCGTCGTTTTCATTAAATATAGGAATAACCTTCAGAGATAACAACGATTTCATAGTTTCACCGAGTTGCCTTCTGAAATCTCTATCCCTAAAATCGCTGTCTGTTACAAGAAGTTGAGCTGATGATACATCCAACTGCAAGGGAGAACAAATGAGGCTTGAGAAAAAGAAAAAGATAAATTGAACTGAATTGAGCAATAATTAGAAAACTCATATATCTGACGATCCAGCTTTGCTTGTAAGAACTTAAACAGAGGATCATTG